CTGCTTAAAAAGGGTGGTCTGGGGTACGGTTCATGTGAACTCCGGTACGGTTCGCTGCTAATGTGAACGCAATCGTACCAAATCGCGAAAGTGAACCGCTATTAATGACGTATTATTTGATAAAAATGTGTGTTTGTGTGTGTGTGTTTCAGTCACTTTCCTGACGAGTGTGACTGACGCGCTGCAAACAGAGAGCTGTATATATCATTTCTGTTCGCCTTCAGCGTTCTTTAGAGCATTTGCAGTACTTCGTTACTAAGCAACGGGGTAAACAGCTGCTGGCTTGATGACGCAAACGAACCGCGGTTCGGACCCAAATAAAATAATATGAATGCAGTCCAGCGGGGGCAGGGGCAGGGGGAGGGGGGGAACTCGGGTTCGGACCAGGTGCAATTAGAGAATTGAGATGTCCTTCAAGATGGTTGAGCTCGATCGGTTTCCGGGTCGTAGGATGAAGGACAGAGGAGCGAGGAAATGAGGAGGGATATTGAGAAGCACCCGGGGTTAAAGTGCCCCTATTATGCAATTTGTAAGGTTGCTAATATTGTTTTATGAGTCTCCTAAAACAGGTTTACATGCATGCAAGGTCAAAAAACACGTTAGTTTTCTCAAAAAATAGATTTAATTTTACCTAATTTCTAAATGATTCGTAAACTTCTTGTGCGAAGCAGTTCTAAGAATCAGTCTCTCTAAACCCCTCCTTTCCGTGAGCCCTCACTGCTGTGATTGGTCAGATGGCGCAGATCTTTGTGATTGGTCCAGAGCCGTAGAGAGATTGGCTCTGGATTGGTCTACCGCGTACAGAGCGTGTCGGAAACGAAACGTCCATTGCCATGATGGAATGACAGCCCTGTAGACTTGTCAATGCATAGAAAAGATGGTATCGATTGTACCTTACAAATTCGAGCCGGAGTCTGATGAAACGGTTGAAGTGGCTGATCCACAAGAGGCTGATTTGCAAGCATGACTGGAGCAGAACGTTTCTCAGTGGTAAGTGTCAAGTGTTAACAAGTTTGTG